CACTCATGACTCTGACCACTCTCTCGGAATTCACATTACTATTTTCAGGTGGAGCTGAGGAGGCGTTACACGCTCGCCCTGGCAACCACACATTGGTTCTAAAATCGAGGAAAGGCTTCGTCAGGGAAGCACTGAGAACTGGTGCATACTTGGTTCCAGTTTACTCCTTCGGTGAGAACGAGGTCTTTGAGCAGGTTTGTTCCTGAATGCCCTACGCCTTGATGTGCTTACCTTATAGAATTTCTTTGTCTGATTTCAGGTCGAGAACCCGAAAGGATCAGCTGTGCGACGATTTCAATCATATATGAAGAAATTCGGCGGTTTCTCACTACCATTTTTCTATGGGCGAGGGATCTTTCAGGTTGGTGAACTTATCTTTTTCAAGGGCACATTTCGCGACTGGCGTGGTGAAACCATTCCCGGTGTTGTTCGGCTTGGGAGGGCATTTTGCACTTTCGCCGGATTATTTTGCTAGTGCCGTTTGAGCTCACGTCTCAACTTGGTGAGACCTGTAAACTCTTCAAGTGCAAATGCTCTCCCGGACCATAACTCTGAAGGAGTTTATAGGTCTCTACTGGAGGTATCAGCAGTGATCGATGAGAACCAGCAAAGTGTCCCTAACAAGTCGGACTGCGCTCTGTTTCCTAGGGTACCAGACACCCTGGCCAACTTCCAAATGTGCTCACTCTGCAACTCGAAGACGGGCTGCAGAGAAGTCTGAACCCTGATTCTATTGGTCTTCATGGCTAAACTCCGCCCGCGTGATCGAGATTGGCACATTCGTCGGTGTCTCTCCTCTCTGTTTTCTCAATGCTCTTTCACTATCCTCCTCTGGTATCTCTTCCAGGCCCCCAATTTCTCTCCTTTTAACGCCCAGTAACAACTGCAAGAACGGGGTTTTCTTTTCAGGAGGTTTCCGTGGTTCTTTGCTTTCTTTGAGTGCAAGAGCACCACTTGGCACTTGCAGTTTCTTAGGTTGGCCCCGCCTACCCACGCGCTGCTAACGTGGAATGTGCCTCTGAAACAGAATCCTGTGTGATGATGAGCCCCCTCGAAACTCCAGCAGTTCTTTTCAGCTCACATTTGGCTACCTGCCGTTCCGGAAACCTATTGATACGGTTGTTGGAGCTCCTATTCCAGTTGTTAAGGTCCCTGATCCAACGCAAGAGCAAATTGACGAACTGCATGAAGTTTATATAGAGAAGTTGAACGAGTTGTTCGAGGAGCACAAGCAAAAATATGGTGTTCCAGCAGAGACGAAATTGGTCATTGCGTGAGCTACCAGCTCTGATGATGTAATTAGATATTTTAGGGCAAATAAGTATAAAGATATCATTATTTGAAGGCTCTCAGTGGCAGGAAGATTCCTAAGGAAGCGAATTAACACTCGTTTACTCTAAGGCTTTGTCCTCGCTAGTCGCGTAGGCGTGGTCAGTTCCATCACCACTACTCCCTCATGGTGACCATGTGGGCGGAGTCATGCATATCACCGGGCTTTCCTCTTACTTCCTTCTTCATTGACGTTAAAACGGTTATGAGAATTATAAGTGGTAGTAAGTGGTATCAGTGAGGGGAGCACAATGGCCTGACTCCACCCATACGACCATCATGGGTTGTGCCTTCAATGGTTTCGGTGTAGCTCCTGCTGGCACTATTCGCGTTGTTCCCACCGCGAAGAACTAGATAGTTCCTTGCGCTACTTCATATCCGTTCGAAAATAAAAGGAGGCTATCAGTTGCATTAATGTTATCGGCTAGCAATCAAACCGCTCGAACATTTCCAGAGTGAATGAAGATGATTTGGACGCATTCGGATCTAATTGTATGATGGACATATAGAGCCAGAAGGTAGTAATGATCATGATCACATTAATGTGAAAGAAGAACGTAAAGAATAACAGCTGATAATATTTATTGTGAATATTCATTAAGCATTTAACTACTATGGAGAAGCTGTTGGCTTTGCAACCAGGTGGGCGTGGGTCGCATAAGTGGCGTTGGATGATGCTTCGATTTGGAGTTCGGCAATAACACAGCGAAATATCTAGAAATCGATGTCTTTCATTTTATAAAAATCCAGGGTTTTTCCGCAACAATTTGAAACGATATCACCCACCTGCCTTGATACTCAATTTTGCATATCAGATCATGGTAGAAGTGGCTCTTGGAGGCGAAATCGCCAAGACTGGCCAATGGCTTCAAATACCGCTGTTGAAAAATGGGATGTGCGTGACGATTCCTGAAAGAAAGACTATGCATACCTTTTTGGCAGAGTTGTTACAAAAGAATGGCGCAGTAAAAAAAAGTTTGATAAAAATAAGGTTAAACGTTTTTGAAAGCTAGGATTTCTTATATTTGCTGGAGAGGAGCGGTAGTGGACCAATCGTTAGACACCTTCCCGTATTAGTAGAAGAAGTGATGCAGTGATGAGAAAGCAACAACGATTAGGTACATATCCTACCTTTCGAATCCTCGAGAAACCCGAGCTAGGATCGCTATTAAGTAGCAGGGCGGTCGTATTGGTAACTCCGAGAAAAAGGATTCTGTGTTTGTTGGCTTTTCTCCGGTGGTTTTTTTCCTGTTTCAGGTGCGCTATATATCGCCTTCTTCCCTTTCCCCTCGCCTCGATCCCCACGGAAAAATAATAGCCTCCGAAAAAGAGTAGATACAAAATTGAGGGAATTAATCAACCAGCGAGGAGTCAAGCAGGTTAAGCCCCGGCCCATATGCAATGAGATGGCATATCGTTCCGTACCCGTCTTGAGGCTATGAACTCGAAATCTTCAAAATTTGCGGAACGATTCTCTGAGCGGAGTTATGGAGGTTTTTCTTTACTGTTTTTCTTCTTCCAGGCGCCGCTAGGCCGCCGGAAGCGTTGGCACCTGTAGCGCGACTCACAGCGCTCTTCGCGCAGAAGTAGCTATCATATTCGTGTTCAGGGGTCAAATAACCCCCAGAGACGTCACCTTAGCGAAATCTGAAGTTCTGACTCAACTTCGAAAAAATGGGGTATTCATGGCTAACTGATAGCCAAAAGCCATACTACGACTAGCATGCTGGTGATGACTGGTCTTCGAGCTGTAATAACTCTTCAGTCATGTCTTTTCGCAAAGAACAATACCTGGCTTACTTTATTCGTGCCGTCTGAAACTTTTTCTTTAATTGCCGGGAGGAATCCCAATCCGAGTACAGTCATCACCAAATACGGCGCATCCGGTCGGACGGCGGGGGGGGGGGGGGGGGCACTTGCTTTCGATAGATGTGGGTCGACCATTGAGTTGTTCTCGTAGCTTGGACACGTTTTAAGGTAGTGGCTAGACGATCTTACTTCAGGCTTCACAAGAGTTCACAAGTTTTACCAGAGTGAGATTTGTAAACCGGAACTAGGGAAGCAATGATAATACAAAATGCCCCCCCCCGTAATCGAACAACAAGGGCCTCAGCCAGTATGCTAGTCGTAGTATGGCTGTTGGCTACCAGGAGCTCGCCTACCATCGATGGATGGTAGGTGAGTTCCTAACTGCTGCTAATAACCCAGGGAAAGACTTGCAAATCGTTCGTCGTTCCAAATCGTCGCGCAATGGAAATCGTTTTTTAGATGGTATTTGACTGCGCGTGACGACGAAATATCATTCCATATTGCAAAAAACCCTTGCTGACACCCCGTGTTGCTACGCGGGGGCGGGGGGTTACAAGACCTCCTTCAGGCCACAATGGGCTTCCTAACACTTTCGAAGAAAAACTGGTCGTAGTTTTCTCGCAGGATTGGTGCATGGCGAGCAGCAGATTGTAAGCTCTTTTCGGCCTTTGTCGGCCATGTTCTGGGACAAATGCAAAAACGAACACTAAACCCGCTCGCTATCCGTTGCGCTCTACTGCCACGTTTCAGCATGACCATACATAAATGTAAAGACGCTTCCACGTTTCCTCGCGATAGCATGTGAAACAACCACGCGGGGATAAACCCTCCATAACTCCGTTCAGAGAGTCGTTCCGCAAATTCTAAATTTTTTTTAAAAACAAATTCCCAAGACTCGTACAACGGTGTGCACCTCATTGGAAATGGCCGGGCTGACCTGTTGAGCTTTCCTGGTAAGATGGTAGGTAGGACGGGGAAGGGGTTCATACCAGGGCGTGGAATTCCAGTTGCATTTTGCAAAATTTTTTTGGGGGGGGGGGCAAGGAGGAGCACCGGTTTGTACGGGTGAAGCAAATTCTTTGCTTCCAACCACTGGGCTAAAATTTCACTACTAATCAACGAACAGAACAGATAAGCTTTTCAATGGAAGGGAAACCTCAGGCAGTGGTGAGGGTGAGCTGTCATAAACGACCAATGTCCTAATCTACATCGCAAGTGCACTGTTTCCGTGCTCTGCTTGTTTTCCTTTATTTGTTTCTCCCCCGCGACCGCACAGTCTATCACACGGAAATGGGGAGGGCGTGCCTGTGCTCATTGGAACGTGGCGGCGGCTGCGTTTTGGTGGGATATTGTTCGTTCTGAGGCAATTATAGTCGTGTCTTCAGCACAAGTCAGAAGGGCGGCTGCCTCGAATGGGAATATCCCACGAAAAATGCACCCTACGCCATGTTCAGTACGCAGCCAAGCCTGCATCTTTTCATGATATGAGGTGTTCTAGAGATGGACGTCAAACCTTGAAACATTCCAGATCTTTCAGAACTGTGTGGAGGGCTACATGAACGTGTTTACATATGGAAGAGGGATGGGAAGAACAATCTCATGAATGGGAAAACATCCCATTAAGGACATAATTGAACGCAAACCTGTAGTGTATTTGCAATCTTCTGTACATTACAAGTCTGCCAGTCTTTATCCGCTGTAAGCTCTTCGAGTACGTCTCGCATTACTTTTTCCAGTTTTCGATTACAACACATGAATCCTGAAAAAGTAGTTGGTGAAAGTGTGGAACTATGGGACTCATGAGCCTGTTTTAAGTGCTCTTTGAAACTCTCGTTCTACACAAGTGTGCCAGCCAGGGTGCAGCATCGTGATGTGTGAAACGAAGGTGTAGGTATGACCCGC